TCTTACTTCGGGAAATGTGCATGTTACATAATGGAGCAATAGTCGAGGTCTGGAGATTTTAGCAGGAAGTAAAGAGCAAAGTCGATGCCCTCAAAGGCAACAAAGTTGTATACTTCTTTAGCGTGCGTCGTGGTACTGTTGTGAACATGCAGCGTCGAAGACTGACACGGAAGAGAAGAAATTGTTGAAGAAAGTCAATATATTTGTTTTCTTTAAGCACAAAAAGTTTTCTTGTAGCTTCATAATGTTACGGTTGAACCCTTGATGTCACATTGACTATTTTAACGATGTCCATACCACCTTTTTGGGCCTTGAACGTGTCAGTTGCGTTGCTGTCTATGGAGGGTCAAAAAGCTCTCGGATTTCATCAAAAATGCCTTAATTTGTGTTCTGAAGATGAACGAAGGTCTTATGGGTTTGGAATGACATAAGTGAGTAATTAATGACAGAATTTTCATTTTTGGGTGAACTGTTCCTTTAAGTTTAAAAATATAAAATAATTTTCCCAGGGAAAAAATAACAGATTGAGACTTTGAACTTTGCCAGCATCTGATAATGTTCCACAAATCCACTATAACGGAAAATAACACATTGAGAAATGGCTCTAGTGATGAAATATATCATTTAAAAGCATCAAAACTTAGAAGAAAAACATTAGACTTCAAAATGAGCACTTTTAAATCAGGTTAGGTTGAACCCTTGATGTCACATTGACTATTTTAACGATGTCCATACTACCTTTTTGGGCCTTGAACGTGTCAGTTGCGTTGCTGTCTATGGAGGGTCAAAAAGCTCTCGGATTTCATCAAAAATGCCTTAATTTGTGTTCTGAAGATGAACGAAGGTCTTATGGGTTTGGAATGATCACAGTAAGTAGTTTTGGAAGGCTTTTGGAAGATGTTTCCCCACTTTATATCTTATTGTCATCTTTAAGCTAAACCAAACTCCACTGATAGCAAGAGTCAATATAGCCTGGATCTTGTAAATTGTGTAATCTGGTGGTTTAGTTTCTAGCTGCATGTCTTTAATGTTTCTACATCATGTATTCTTTAAATTACATTTCTGTAATTATTCCCATTTTATTCCAAATCCTATGACTTTCTTTCTTGTGTTGAACACTAAAGTGAAATTTTGAAGAATTGTATTGCTCGTTCTTTTCCATGAAGTTACGATTAACAGAGACTGAAACTTTAAAGGGATAGTTCACCCAAAAATGAAAATTCTGCCATTAATTTCTCACCCTCATGTCGTTTCAAACCTGTAAGACCTTCGTTCATCTTCGGAACAGCAATGCAACTATTACGTTCAAGGCCCAGAAAGGTAGTAAGGACATCGATAAAATAATCAATGTGACATCAGTGGTTCAACCTTAAGAAAACAAAAATAACGACTTTATTCAACAATTTCTTCTTTTCTGCGTCAGTCTCCACTGCGCATTCATGAAAGCACCACAAATGCATGTGCGTGATGCTGCTGATGTTGTGGTACTGTCGTGAGTGTGCATAGAAATCTGACACGGAAGAAAATAATTTGTTGAATAAAGTCATTATTTTAGTTTTCTTTGTGTACAAAAAGTATTCTCATTGCTTCATAAAATTAAGGTTGAACCACTGATGTCACATGGACTATTTTTAAAATGTCCTACCTTTTTGGGCCTTGAACGTGTCAGTTGCGTTGCTGTCTATGGAGGGTCAAAAAGCTCTCGGATTTCATCAAAAATGCCTTAATTTGTGTTCTGAAGATGAACGAAGGTCTTATGGGTTTGGAATGACATAAGTGAGTAATTAATGACAGAATTTTCATTTTTGGGTGAACTGTTCCTTTAAGTTTAAAAATATAAAATAATTTTCCCAGGGAAAAAATAACAGATTGAGACTTTGAACTTTGCCAGCATCTGATAATGTTCCACAAATCCACTATAACGGAAAATAACACATTGAGAAATGGCTCTAGTGATGAAATATATCATTTAAAAGCATCAAAACTTAGAAGAAAAACATTAGACTTCAAAATGAGCACTTTTAAATCAGGTTTTTTTGTTTCAAAAGCTATGTCTCATTCTATTCCCTATGTTGTGAATCAGATACAGGCACTGACAAGAGCCTTATTCCACTGAACACTGAAATATGGCGTATCCTCAAATTTACTCCGCGTCAGAGAAAATAAAAATCTATATTTTCAGGACATGAACCTACTGTAGTGAGCAGAACTCATTGGATGTCATTGATGACAAAATTGGTGCAATGCGTCTTGAGGCACAAAGTTTGAAGTGTGCATATTCAAGATGTCTGACATAGATGAATCTACCCAGAAGCAGTGTTTGGCAGTCGGTATAACAGCACAGCTTCTGCAGGTATGACAACACTCCGTCAAGTTGAAGATGGCGGACGGCTTACGTATAGCGGCCATAGAAACAGTCGATGATAATGAGGCACCTACGTATATATATATATATATATATATATATATATATATATATATATGGTTGATAAAAGAAATTACATTATAAAACGGATAGTTCCAGTCCTTTATTCCGATTGGCTGAGCCACGTTCGAAGCTGTTGTAAATTATGCTACAAGCATACACCTTTGTTTACATTTGTGTGTTGCTCTGCAACCCCTTTGTTGGAACCACAACCGTTTCAGAGGAACTACATTGTTTGGCGGAAGAATAATGTTTTTATTAATATCATTACACTTTATTTGCTCTGTTTTATTTTGTGAAACCTTACTACGTATATGGAATAACTGTTTTATAACAACACCCTTTAGCTGTTATAAATTCACTGTAAACCACGGCTTCTTGGGGCTTATTGCTTTAGTGACTGTCGGCGCTGATAGCATCATGGTCATCACGCTGACATATAGCTCCATTGCGCTTTGGGCGTCCCGAGTTCGAGTCCTGGCTCAAGGACCTTTCCCGAGCCTGCCCCCATCTCTCTCCCACTTCACTTCCTGTCAACTAACTGTCCTGTCATAATAAAGGCTAAAAACGCACACAATGTGTCAATGAATCCTGATTTAAATAAAAAAAATTATATAATATCTGCCCTCCACCATCAGTGATTCACAGCATCCAGGGACTTGGCAGCGATGGGCGTCCTGGATTTATGAGGCAGGCAGACTAGATCCAGAGTAAAATGGCCAGGCTTCAGATTTATAGAGTGGCAGGCTAACAGCTTTGACCCGAGAAAAACAGGAGAGAGCAGGAACAAGAGGAGTGAATTATAGTAATGTTCTTTCAGCACACAGGCTTCATCTCTCGTTCCTACCATAGACAGACAGCTGTGTGTAAGAATCAAGAAGCACTGTTGTTACTGTAACTAGAATTATAAGTATTACAAATCTTTTTCATTACTTTGTTAAAGCTGAAATATAATATAAAATGAAATATAAAAATATCAATATTAGATGAAAAATGTAAATGAACTAAATTTAGTTCCCTTGGCAACTAACCAAAATAAAATAAGTTTAAGTACTAAAAATGTAATTACTAAAATGAAAACTGAAAGCCAATGAAAAAATGAAAGCCAAATAGATTAAAATTTTATTTTAAACTAATAAAAATGAAAAAAAGCCCATAATACAATTTTTTAAAACAAAGTAAAATTTAAATGAAAACTGAAAATATAAAAATAAAACCTAATTCAAAATATTAATGATATATAGTATGCTATAATAGTATATATATAAATATTATAAATATATAAGGCTGTCAAGAAGTAAGCACCTTGCCAAACAAACAACAAAAAATGTTTCTTACCTACCAAGAAAATATATTTTGCATTATTATTATTATTAATTTTCAAGATTTTAACACTTTTATTTAATTTTACAATTTTTATTATTAACTAGTGTACTACCAAAGTAGTACAATTATTTTTTACTATATTTAACGGTAAAAGATTTTGTGCATTTAAAAACGTTTAAAAATTGTAAAGCCATTATAATATTTTCTGTAGAACTATGACAGTTTTTAAAATGGTCCCCTAGTTCCCCTAAAAACACACACACACACACACACACACATTTTATTTATAAAAATAATTAAATTTTTTGGACTATTTTCTTAGATTTCTAAAGTTTTAGTAAACAAGTTCACTTGAGGGTGTGACCGTGACGTTTTTCTGGTCAAGTGCAGGAATTCAGTGTTCACCGCAGTCATGTCTCACAAAAACAGTTTATCACAAGAATAAACTGAGTCTAATTACCCATAAAAGCAGCGAGAATGACCAAGAAACCCAGAGAACAAAGGAAACGTCGAACTCTTTCTGTTCAAATGCTGCTGATGCTACAAGCAGGAAGGGATCAGCAGTCTTTGGGCTGACAATTAAAAAGCCACAAGTCCTTTATACCACAGCCCTGGTATTTCCTCTTTCTTTAAAAGTGAAGGTGGCTGCGGTAACAGGAGACATGTAGAGTTTTGCACACTGATTGCCACTCTGTCTCTGTTTTCAATTACTCGATCCTCAAGAGCAGGAAAACACCCCAAAGACTCTTGCATGATGACGCAACTCAGTCTCAGATGAACCAGTAAATGTGATTATGAGTGGTTTCACATGTACAAACCATTTTACATTGATCTGTGGTGCTCAAGTTCGAATCCAGCTTGCAACATTTCCAATTCCTCCTTTAGTTCCTAAACATTTCCTGTCCTAACTATATTTACTTTTCAATAAAAGTGACAGAAAGGTCAAACATTTTGAAACTCAACACTAAGATGCCTTTTATGACTCTCCAAATGGCTTTTTTTGGGGGGAAAAAAACTAAAAAAACAAGCACATATGATGTGAAACACCCCGTGCTTCTGGGATGAGTTACACCCGACGGCACACGTAATATGGTTTCATAATAAAAACACCCATGAGAGAACTACACGCCCCGCCAGGTTACGGTAATATATGATGAATCATTATGACCTCGGACTGAAACGTGTGCATGTATGTTTTGTTATGGGACATGTGGCCATGCAGAGCGAGCCTGAGGGACATGTGTCTTACCATGTGATAGTTAACGATTTCCTGAAGGCTATCGCCACACTTTTCAAGACATTCCTGAAATGAAACAAATAATCAAAAAATCAACACAGCTCATGAAGGTGTGACTATTACTTGAGTCATTCAGAAATAAATACTTACTGAGATCATCTCCTCCTTTTTGCAGTGGTGAGACAGGTCTCGAATGCCGTTGACGAAGAGTTTATTGGCACTGATGTACACACGACCCGCTTCGATCATCCCGCTGCATAGCTTCACCAGCTGATGGACAGAGAGAGACAGATATACACAATTATATTTATCGAGCTTGAGTCTATTTCTGCTTCTCTCCACTTACTAAGCACAATCATCTGCAATATTTGCCTGCTGGTTATTCATCCTGGAATAAATTTTTATCTGGATACTTTAGATGTGTTGTGTAATAACAATTAATAACCATGATTATATTTTGATTATGATTTTTTTATTATATGATTATATTTTTAATTATATATGGTTATATTTTTTATTACATGATTATATTTTTGATTATATATGATTATATTTTGATTATATAATTTTATATTTTTTAACTTTCGTGAAAGCGCATCCTAATCTGACACAGAAGAGAAAAAGATAGCTGAATAAAGTTGCTATTTTTGTTTTCTTTGCGCACAAAATTTATTCTCGTAGCTTCATAAAATTACAGTTGAACCACTGATGCCACATGGACTATTTTAACGATGTCCTTACTACCTTTCTGGGCCTTGAAAATTTCAGTTACGTTGCTGTCTATGGAGAAAGCTCTCGGATTTCATCAAAAATATCTTAAAGGGGTCATATGATGTGATTTCAATTTTTCCTTTCTCTTTGGAGTGTTACAAGCTCTTGGTGCATAAAGAAGATCTGTAAAGTTGCAAAGACTAAAGTCTCAAATCCAAAGAGATATTCTTTATAAAAGTTAAGAGTCAACCACGCGTACCTAAAACG